ATTTATGCATGGGGAAAGTATCTTTAAATCAACAACAAATGCTATATATAGGTGGCACTGATGCATGTGATAATTTATTGCATGTGAGCAATAGCTTGTATATAAAGATAACTAGACACTTTGCAGGCACAACCATTACTTAAGATAACAGACCATACTGGAGCAGAAAGACCGATAGATTGATACAGTAAATTGAACATTGGAGCCACCCAGAACTTGATGAAGGAGCTCCTTCAGAGCGTGATAATAAAGGACACAATAATTTGTTGCCCTAAAAAAATAATTAGTAATAATAGAGAGCATTGGTAGCTGTATTATTATGTATTTGTGGTTCGGTGAAGACCAGTAATATATTCAGTGTTGCAGTAGATGCACAAGCGGCATTGTCCTTGAAGGTTACCTTTAACTTTTCTTAAAATCTTCGAAAGCCTTGTCTTTAGGAAAGTACAAGATATATTCCACACCACAAGAGTATATATAGAACAAATATACTTATGTATATTTGGAGAATGTATTATATTCAGAATGCCAAGTAATGTAACCAAATGCTTCCTTAAAAATCATCTACTTATTGTAAAATGTGCCCTGTCACAAAAAAAAAAGCATAAAAATAGCTAAATAAAAAAGATGCTTATAAGAATGTACATTTAGAAAGTGCAAATGTATATATGGACATAGAAATTTAGACACCACTCATTTCAGCTCTGAAATTTAGGATCACGTGTTCACTGACTCCTCAGGCTACTCTAAGTCATGTTAATCAAAATGAGAGCTCCTTTTGCACTTTTTGTGTCCATGTCACTAATTTTTTAACCTTCCCCATGGGGAGGATATGTCTTTCCTTTTGCTGAAGCATTCTGTCTTTTCTAGTGACAAAAAAAACAAAAAGCAAAATATAAAAATTCTTACCCTAGATACTTTACTTGATTGTATTCCTGATGCACTCTTAATTTAACATTCATTGCATATCTTAATTTTATACAGCCAATGCAATTACAATTTATAGACATTTTCTTAATTTCTGGAAAGCCAGCACATCATTCCAGGCTTTGTTGAGGTTCTTATTGAATGTTAATTTGATATAAGTATCCATGTTATGCTCAAAAAAAAAGGAAAGAAAAGAGCCATACTCCAAGACTTCCACCAAAAACAAAGCTCCAAAAATAGGGGACAAACAAAGAAAGGTGAAAAAAAAGCTTTGAACCATTAATAATTAATTAATATTAACCTTTAATTAGCATTAGCATCTTTGTTTTCAACTATTCACTGTTTTTAATCCAGTCTAAAACTTGAGTCCACTCTTTCATGTGTCAAATTTTTAGGCTTTTCCTCCTCTTTTTCAGCTTTATTCCAATCCTAGTAAAGCTTAGACACAGGGCTAAATTTCAGCATAAATAGAAGTGATGATTATTCAGACATGTTGACAGTAGTTCGAAGAATATATAAGGGACTGTCTATGTTAGAAGTCACAAGGAATATATTGCAGATGCCCATTTTAACTTCTTTAACTTTTCCCACATAAAGAATTCCCTTCATTCCCAATGAAGGTCTTTTAGGACAACATCATGTAGTCCTCAAATTTCAGTGTATGAAAGTAACAACAGCACCTGTCTCAATGGACCTTTACTGACCATTTACATATGTTGCAAAACCTTTATATAAAACCAGGAAAAAAGCTAGAACACTTAAGATGATCACAGAATCACAGAATGGTTGAGATATTGGAAGGGACCTCTAGAGATCTAGTCCAACCCCTCTATGCAAGCAGGGAATCCTAGAGCATGGGGCACAGGGTGGCATCCAGGCGGGTCTTCCTCCAAAGAAGGAGTTTCCACAACTTCTCTGAACAGCCTCTCCCAGTGCGTTGTTACCCTCACAGCAAAGAAGTTCTTCTTCATAAAGAGATGGAACTTCCTGTGTTTTCCTGTACTTATTACCCCTTGTCCTGTCACTGGCCACCACGTAGAAGAGTTTGGTCCCATCCTCCCTACATTCTCCCCCCAGATATTGGTACATATTGATAAGATCCCCTCTCATTCTTCTCCAGGCTAAAAATGTCTAGCTTAGTTATGCAGCATTTCAAGCCTAGAGGATATGCTAACCATTACAAAATTGCTATTATATTTTTCCAAATCTTCACAAAAAAGTAGAGTCCCTAAAATTTGTAAAGACATTTGACACCACTGAAGAACAAAAAATATCTTTTTTTGCAGAGGTGCTGATCAAACATAGCTTCTCCTAATCTGAACAGAAGCTAAAAGGTTTCAGGATTTTCCGTGATCAAGATGCTAATGTCTGAATAGGCATCCATCTGTATTAAACACAATGAGATAAAAAATTTAAGTAATACTGGCTGCACATCCTGTTATTCTGTAATAAACTTAAGTGTTTCATGTGGATGTATTTTACTGCAGTGCTCCTACAGAAGTGATTCTTCTAAATGCCGTCAATCTACCTGGTTACATAGGTATGCAGATAAAATGCATGTATTTTCCTGATGAGAATATTAGGATTCATATAGTCATGAAACCTCCACAAATCAGAGTGACAGCTAAGATTTTTAACAGCTCCTTAGCAATAAAACCAGGCAGTTGCTATCTATTATGTCTTTTTTTCCCCTCTAACAACATAGCACACATTATCTGCAAATTAGCCTCAAAGGAAAGAGGAGAAAATTTCCTAGTCTTATCCTTCTGCTGTCTAAGGCTTTGTATCAGAAGCATTAACCATCTTGAATAATCCCCTTTTCAATAGCTAATAAACACTGTTGTACAATACGAGTTGAAAACTTTTTATCTCTTATAGAAGTGCCGTCACGTGCTCTTCTTTTACATTTACAGCTGCAGAATATTCTACTCCATAATTGTGATCTAAGTTAACTGCAAAGGCTTTGGGAACACCAAAGCAGAAATATAGAAATTGCATTATGCCTTGACTGGACTGAGCATCTTGCCTCCAGATATAGCACAATGAATCTACTTCATAAAGCAAAACACTAGCACTATATTCACATTCTTAGATCTACAGGGTTATTGAGCTATAGATCATGCCCATGTTCTCTTTGTTCTCATTGGCAACCTTGATCTCCTATGTCTCCTTTGTTTCCTCATATTTGAGTATGTTTTTTTCATTCTCATGAAACAGCTTGTCAAAAAATCTCTAAAGATGTTGCACAATAAATTTCTAAAATCCTTTACCAACATTATTCAAACTTCTGCATTTACAGATGAAAATAAAAGAAGGAAAAAGAAAAAAAAATCTATTCAGCATTTCCCCCAAAAGAACTGTAATTAGGCAAATTTCAAAGCATTGTTTTTTGCATTTGTATTTAGCTCATTCCCCCACTTTCCCCACTTCTGTCTTTCTCTGCTACATGGCTTTCTCTGTCATTCTTTCTGACATGTATAGGGTTGATTATCTGAGAAATGTTCTTATTTGAGAGTGCAGTAGACAGGGCTTATCCTTTTCTGAAATTGAAGAGCCTACAGACTTACTGTAAAGTAATTTTTTGCAGCAGCTATATTGACAATACACTGGAAGAGAGATTTTCTTTCTAGATATCACCTCTGAGTCCCAGCAAGAACAACAAAGTAGTAAAATACTGTAGCTGTGATGGATAAAAAGATATTGCACAACTTGGAAGCATTCTCATCATAAACGGAATCCTAGTATTTCTGAAAGATTCAGTGGAGAAACTGGAAATTATATGAACTGTATAAAAATCTACAGAGAGAGAGATTTGTGAACTGAAGATGAGAATAAAAGAATCAAGAACATTTTTCTCAAAAAAAAAAGCTATAAAAAGTTGTTCTAGAACCACGTTTTATGTTCTACAACGTAGAATCTTAACTTATAGAAGGTATTAAAACAAGACGTGACTCAAAAGAAATAATTGATGTTAAGAAGGCTTAGTATGTTAGGATTGCATATCATACACTGCACATCAGTAGCAATGATGAGGAAAGTTACAGTGATTTATAGGAAAAGCTGAAATTTTCTAGGTTCAGCTCTTTGAGATTCAAAATAAAAAGCAATGCATTTAAAGTCAATTTGGGGTTAATATTTCATTAGACTTTTAAAAGAAATACACTAACTTGAAAGTATCAAAAATGCATATGGCCATTTGCTAAATCTGTTGATACCCATCGTCAAAAAAATGCAAGCGTTTTAAGCATTTGAGTTGAAAATGTAAACTGTAATTGCTAGATAACCATGTGCTCAGGGTGACTTTCATTCATACTGTGCCCTTTCTCTGAGTAGAAAGAAACAATATTAGATCAATAATATCTGTGGACTTGAGCTCACTAAATCTGATGGAATAACATTTATTGACTCCAGAAAGCTTTGGATATAACAATGACTTTGTACATGCAAACTCTGACACCATCTCTTGAATTCGTAAAATAATACAGAAATTAGGAAAAAAAAAGCCATTCATCTTCCAAAAGACTTTTATTTTCCATTCTATTCATTCTATTTTCCACTTCTATTCATAATTTGGAAGCATTGTAACTACTGTTGACTGAAATACTGATCTCAATAAAATGTAGTCAAGACTATCTTTTAAATTATTGTGATTTTGTTCCAGTTATATATTACAAGCATCACTACATTGTGGGAAAAAAGAAGAGGGAGCAGAAGAAAGAGCCTTAATAGTACCTTTCTAACACCAAGGATTGAACCCAAAATATTTCTCTTTATCTCCTAAATGAATTTCTTTGTGCTAGTTTGGAGTGATTTTCTTTGTGCATACAAATATGCATAGTGTGCTTTAAGCAAAGTCAGACTTATTATGAACTGAAAACCTCTTCTTTAATCTCTAATAACTGTGTAGCTTCAGTATTCCGATAATCCTCGTTAAGAGGGTATTAGAGCACATAAATGTTGTTAAGATGAAAGCCGCATTCACAAGTTCCTCACACTGTACCAAGCACCCTCACAAATTACCTTGAATGCACAGATTTACTAAATTTTAAACTGTCACTTCATCCTTGTTGCAGCAAGCATCCTCGGCAGATTTAATGATCAGGAACATCCTGTTGGTGCACGCAGGGCGATACGGCTGCCGGGTGCAGACCGCAGCAGACGCGGTGTCTGATGAGGCAGAGCTGCTTGTTCGGGGTGAGTACTGCTAACAGGGCAGGCTGAAGACATGATCGCCATAAATTATTGTGCTGGGGAGTTTAAATATATGACCTTTAGGGATATTTGTGCTGTTTGTTATATTTCAGGTTTTGCAATACTGAAATCATCCATGATTAACCTAGTCATCTTTGAAAACAGTTCCTTGGTTTACTGATATACGCACATGGGTCTTTTTACCAAACATTAATTGGTAAAAAGAGATCTACGTATATATATGCACGCATGCACATTTGCACATGGGATATAAATTGGGAATTTTTTTCCTCTTCCAAATGTGTAGTCAGAATTGCCAAGCTGGAATGCAGGACAGGAAATGCATGGGCAACTGCAAGCACTCATAAGGCAAAGAATTAAGTCCCCCAGGTCGCAAAAAATATGCAGAAACACCAGAGGTAGCTGCAACACCATCCACTTGGGATTTTTATTAGCCTCCTGGGATATAGCTGCACAAAGTTTAGGTCATACTTGGCATCCTTTCTCTGCTCAAAATCAACATCTACACTCATAGAAATCATTTGTAAGTGCAAGTGCCAATCCCAGTATACTCTTAAGAAAAAAAGTATACCAAAAAGTATATCACATTACATAAAATATAAGAAATTATCATTCACAAGTTTATGCAAGAAATGAATAATGGATTCTGTGTCTCTATAGTTTATTTTATGGTCAAGTTATTCTCTCATGTTTAACAGTTTGGGAATATTCATCATTCACTTCCTAAGAGGGACCACTTACCAGTTTGTAAAGGCAACAAAGCAGAAATCTCCTAATATGAAAAGAAAGTTTTTCTTCTTGCATGGAATTGGGGCAAACAAATACTGGCTGAATCTTTAGGCCCATTCCTGAAATCTGGGAAGTTGCTTTATCTTTAAAGTTCTTGATGATGCACAGGGACATAGAGTCATTATTCTGTGGGTCTCAGATCATAGTGAGGACATCCATCAGCTCACAATAAAGCAATGTTTTAGCACCATACTTGGGCTTCCTCAGTAGGGAATTCCTGTGGGGTATCCAGGGATGTTTATGGCGAAGGAGTGCTATGCGCAAGCTGAGAGCTGAGGACTTGCAGCTCGTCAAAATGCATGCATGTCTTTTAAGCAGTAGCTCTGGTTAGCCTCATTGGGTAGCGTACAGTTTTTAAAAGCTGAATAAATCAAGGTAGATGTTTTATTAACATTTGAAAAACACTAGGTTAAAATAAATAAATAAATATTATAATATTTCAAAAATACTTATTTTACCTTATTCTACTGCTTCTGTAGACTTGATGTTTTCATATCCATCATTTTTATGATCAATATATGCTTTAAATAGTAAAGAATGTTTCTGGCTGAATGCAGGGCTATTCACGCTTTAATGTGAGCAGCTGTAAAATATTTCCATAATTTCACTGTGAGGACCATCAGATTTATACGAGCTGTGGCACTGCTGAGATGCTATCCAGTTGTTTCAAAGCAGGCATATAATGCCATTTTAGTTGTCTTAGGGAACCTGACCCATCCTTGTGGGGCATGCACATCTCCTGTGCTTGTCTCTCAGACAAGAGCTAGAGGCAAAGCAATCTCACATTTAACGCCACTGAATTCACTAAGTGAGAAAAATCTCTTAGATTGCTAAATACCACAGTCTGACTACTTTTTTTAAAATTACTTTTTATATAAATGACTTTATATATTTGTTATAGAACTTTTTTTTCTGAGTAAGAGGCTTGAAATAAAAGCAAAAGGACTTTATAAGCACTATTAGAATGGATTTATTCAGGTGTGGCTTTAACATGCCACTTAGTTGATGAAATTAAAACTCTGCTTTATAATAGGATTTAAATTCAAATATATTTTGCTTATTATGTTCTTCTTTCCTTTTTTATATGACTGGATAATGATACAGTTAGAAATGTATGTATCATTTTCACAAGCTTGATTATATTGTGTGAATGCTTTTCTCCTTATGTAAAATTCAGCTTTCATTAAATTATAGGATACGGATGGTTTGTTGAGGTGGTCAATTTCCTTAAGATATCTTTAAAACTTATGCAAATGGAGGACATAAGATAGTCCCAATGCTAGTGGGTTTCAACAAATGAATGATTTTATTTTGTTCTGCATTGCAACAAATATATAAAGCAAAATTATTGCAAAGTTGTTAGCAATTTCTCATTGTAAACTTCAACATTTCAAGAAATCCAAAATATTAAAGAGTATCAAATCTATAATTATACTACTACAGGTATTTTCATTTCAGCATTTCTGATTCTTTTTTTTCCATATAACTCAGTCCATAGAGCGCACAAACTGATTTACAAGGTAACACTCTAGTGATTTTAAATTACAACATTTTTCAAATCTCCTTAGGTCTTACTTTTGGAGATATCACATTATTTAGGAGAAGAGGGCATCAACGGCAAGTTATGTATAAACATCACTTCCACTATGCAGTCAAGGCAGTAAAGTCCAAAATCATATCGTTCCTCACAGCAAGTGTGGTTTCTAATTTCAGTCAATATATTTTAAACAATCTTCTCTGTGTTTTAAATATCATAGCCCATGGTCAAAGCAAGATATCCAAAGCATTGCTCTGAGCTCCTGGAAGTACCAAACATTCCAACATGTGCATATTCTGTGACTATATGTATGTGAATATATTCTCTGTCATTTCCAGTCTACAAAAAGTGCCAGTCTTGAATATTGGTATGGCATAGCAGTATATGACTTGCCAGCATTTCAATCACTAGTTATATTGTAAGGTACTTCTGATATTTCTTAGCATGTCATTGAAATGTAGACTTTAAAAATTGTTCTGCTTGCAACATTTCTACAGCAAATAAATTGGACACATGGAATAAATTAAAGGAAAATCATCTAATTTTTCCTTTTAGATATTCATGAACATCGGAGTTACTGCTGTAATCAAACTGACTAAATTCATACTGAATCATACTTTCAGCTGATGCATTATATTTAAGTCAAAGGACATTTTTCTAGAACTTTATTATAAGGGACTTGGGAGACAACTGTACCTTGCTGCAGCCTCTGCAAGTGGAAGAAAAAGAATGAAAATTGTTTACAAAAACTTATTGCTTATATATAATTGGTGAAAGACTCTTCAAGACACAGACACTGTGTGGGGGTGTGTGAGCATACTACTTCTACTGTATTCTGCAATTCTATACAATGATTTAGAGATTATTTAAATTTTTGAAACTACCCTGAAATTCGCTATCTCATGGTTTTCAATTTTGAATGCATATTTTGCAATGAAATTCATTTCCAACATGATTTCTAGAATGATTTTTATCTAGTCAATCTCAGCTCTGGTGAGGCCTCACTTGGAGTATTGGGTGCAGTTCTGGACTCCCCAGTACAAGAAGGACATTGAACTTCTAGAGAGGGTCCAGCGGAGAGCCACAAAGATGATTAGGGGACTGGAGCATTTGTCCAGGAAAGACTATAGGAAAGATTAAGCAAGCTGGGCCTGTGTAGTCTGGAGAAGAGAAGGCTGAGAGGAGATTTGATTAACATGTTCAAGTACCTGAGGGGTGATTGTAGGGAGGATGGGGCCAGGCTCCTCTCTGTGGTGGCCAGTGACAGGATGAGGGGTAACGGGTGTAAGTTGAAACACAGGAAATTCCACCTCCATATGAGGAAAAACATCTTTCCTGTGAGGGTGACAGAGCCCGGGAACAGGCTGCCCAGAGAGGTTGTGGAGTCTCCTTCTCTGGAGATCTTCCGAACCTGCCTGGACACCACCCTGTGCCCCTGTGCTCTAGGTGTCCCTGCTGGAGCAGGGGGGTTGGACTAGATGATCTTTAGAGGTCCCTTCCAACATTAACCATTTTGTGTGATTCTGTGTGGTCTCCTTTATGCACATTTGAAAAGCATGTATAAAGCAAATCTAGAAAATCTTTGGTCAAACCCAAAATTCAGACCCATCCAGCATCCACTATTCAAAACTAAATGCTGCTCTAAGTAGTTTCAAAATATGATTTAGTAATATGCATTAAAGTAAGAAACTTTTGGATGTCCCTAGTAGTATTTGGAGTGCGTTAAGAAGAGCATCTCCAGCAGGTGGAGGGAGATGATCCTGCCCCTCTACGCAGTCCTGTGCCACGTGCTCTAGGTGACCCTGCGTGTGCAGGGGGGTTGGACTAGATGACCTCCAGAGGTCCCTTCCAACCTTAAGCATTCTATGATTCTATGATTTCTGCTCCTCAAAATACTTTTTTTTTTTTTTTTTTGGCTGGAGTTCTTAATTTCTCCCTTCCTGTTTTATTTTTCAAACTTTATCATAAATGTTGATATCCTTAGAGATGTTCTGCTAGCAGCAGAATGTCTGGACCTGTCAGGCGATGTATTGCCTAAGTGTCCACATTTAAATCTTGATAAGAGTTATGAGTGAAGAATAGTTTAGTGCTCTCATTATAGTCAGCAGCGGCCTTCCAAAGACTGCTGTCCTGATGGCATCATCTGTCGAAATTCACATAGGCTGATACAAATTAAATGGAATCTTGTAAACAGGTACCTGAGGTAATAAGTAAATGCCCACTTAGTTGTAGAAAGCACTGCTAGCTTGCAAAACATTTCTCCTTCAAAATATGGCTCTACAAGATTCTCTGCATTTCATCATCACAGGTTGTTCTTATTGAGTTCATAAATATTAAATTTCCTTTATTTTTGTCTTCTGGTGCATTTCACTTGCTCTAGCACCTAAATCCAAGAAAGCTATGTAGAAAGTTCCCATTTTGAAGGCTTACAGGCAGAAGAGATGATGCCCACCACTGGTTTAGGGCTTGCAACACTCACCTATGTTGTCAGATCTGTTCTTATCATTCCCTCAGATGATTCGCTCAGAACCACATTTTTCCTCAAGATTGTGCCATAATTGCAGCCAGGACACTAGCAGGATAAAGATATTCAGTCTTTCTGTGGCTGAGTAATCAGGAACACAAGTCAGAAGACAAACAAATGGGAGCCTGACTT